AAAGGACATGTATCTTATTTCTTATTTCAACTGTTGCGTATATTAGCTGTGACATATGAATCAAGATGCTATGACCAAAAATTGGATTGACAGATGACCATTGATATACGGAACTCTCCATGACCTCCGACACTAAACTCCCCTCCTCTTGCATGTTTCCGCTGTCCAAATCACCAATTTAGTGCTACTTGGTCCCAATGGAATTTCCCATTGGGATCCTACTAGCACTAAGTTGCTAACTGGTTAGCAAGATGCTTCTGAGACACCAGCCGCAACCAAACTTGCTTGCGAACCTTCTGCCACAACAATCCCACCCCTTAAAAAACGACCAATCACATTCACTTTATCCACTCATGTAAAGTCGGGCACCATTCAGGAGAATTCTGAAATGCAACGATTTGAACAGCAGTTTCCCTACGACTTTAAAGTTTTATGCATTACATTCTTTTCAAATCTCATTGATAGATTCCCCCTCTGATCTTTTTTCGGTTGCCGTTTCCCTACGACTTTAAAGATGATCATTCTCAACCTGATCTAAATGTGAAAAACAGGTCCTGAAGAGTACTGACAGATTCACAAAACACCTTTGCCAATTTTATTATAAAAATGTGTAGAAAATGTAAGAGGATAATTTTTATTTGCTCTACTTTGTCTTTTTTCTTTATCAAATAAAATCCTTACAATCATACTGAGACGTATCACAATTTGACCAAATGTGGAAACTATTTACAGGATGAAAAGCAGATTTCTGTCTGTGTTCAGTCACAGAATGATTATGAAACCAAATAATAGAAAAAAAAGATACTCATTCTTCTCTCCCTCCTCCTACAGAGCCTGACCTTCCCTAAGATTTTAGCCACTCCAAACAACTACTTCGAATACCACAATGCAGCTAATCAGTAACATGCTACTGGAGTGTTTTAATGACACTCGCAGAGGATGGTAGATAGGAGCATGGTGGGCATGAAGATGCAGAGAGGGAGCGAGTCTGAAACACTAGAATAGTGAAAAGACAACGAGCTGCATCTCATTAGGCTCCATTAACTCTAAATATCGGTTGACTATAATAAATACGACTTCATTATGTAATAAGGTTAGCATTAGAGATTATAAGTTTTTATTAAAGGTAGGAAACATCTGTTCTGAACACTCCCAGAACATTTGGTGAATTTTATCACCATAGAGAATCAGGAATTTCTCAGATTCTCCTCCTCTGCTGTGCCTTTGTTTTGACTCACTGGTAGAGCAAGAATCAGACAGAATCAAACTCTTTGAAGTGTCAGTTATCTTTACTGGATTTCTGCCTTGATGTGCAACAGTTTTTCCATATAAAGCGGATAAGTAGCCGTACCATGGCCCTTCTCATTGGAGTCATTATACTGTCGATTTGCACCCAGTCTTTGAAGGTAAATAAATTTAAATAACCATTTATCTTTGCTTATATTTTTTAAAATCAGTATACTTCAGTGGTTTTTTTTTAATATTAAAACCATAAATATCTCTGAAATGTCCTGTTTATTGTATGCTGGAGCTTAAACTGCAGTTAAAGCTGCTTGTGTTTCGTCTCTACCAGCTTTGTACGCTATACGCACGGTTAGAGAGAGCTTTAATGAAGGCTGGATGTACCAATACAGATTACATATGCACAAGGTGAATGACGGGAAAAAATCACATATTCATCAATACAAATCATCATTTACTAGTAAAAATCATAGATTTACAAGAACAAATCACAAATTAAATACTAAAATTCATAACTTTACGAATATTAATTAAAAATTTTGAGTATGAGACACAAATCTACTAGGATGGGTGACAAAGCAAAGCACACATTTCTGAGTCCTAATAAGTGTTGCACCGATACCAGTATCAGGTGGGGCTCCGATCCAGCACTAAAATGATGGTAACGGTGATATATATGGGCTTTATATTTTATGTTCGTTGACAATCGTACAAGTTTTGTATCACAAATGAAGCACTCCTATTACCTAAGCACTCTCATTATCTAACTTCTGTTTCCTTGAGAGCATGATGTAATTTGTTTTTGTACTCACAAGCTCTCAGTGCCATGCTCTGAGCATAACGTAACTTGTTTTTCTGTTTTGGCGGTCCACGAGCCCTGGGTGGGTTCAGGGGGATGCCGGAAACATATTTTGGTTTCTGTAATCATGCGCTCCAGGCGTGAGAGGGAGCCATCATTTTCCTGATTGGGCGAAAGATTTTCCTTTGAAGTTTGGCATAAATGCCGGGTGGTGGTTGGCACTGGCAGAGTCTGCTAGGGTTGCATACGAACGCCTAGCTGCGCGTGTTGCTGCCCTGCCAGGGTCGACTGGCTCTCCGATCCCTTGTGTCACGGTAAGGGGGACAATATAATATGTATTCAGCACCGTGGCTTGATTGATGTGCTTGCTTTGCTGTGTTCTGTGGCAGAATAAAACAACACATTTTACTCTCGCAGTCACAGTGTGTGTGTATCTGTGTGTCATCTTTATTACCGGCTCATCCCGATCCTGCCTAGATTTCATAATACAATCGGCGATTACCAACAAATAGGGCACAGATACCATTTTGAGAGCCAAAAGTTTATTCAACTATTGTCACCCATTCCAGGTAAGCAGTAAAAAGTTCTTTGTATTAGTCTTTTTCCTTTTCCTTCTTTCCAAACAGATGGTATCGGAACCGCCGAAAACAAAAAACCAAGGAATGAAGAACCGGGCCAAAAAATGGTATCAACGCAACACTGGTACTAATTAAAGATAACAACTACATGTTAAAATGTAGCATCCCTGGAGAAGCTGTTAAATCCTTAACAGTTTGTGGTGGTAATGCACCTGATAGTTGTTGATCACCTGGTGTTAAACACAAAGAAGACTAAACAGAACAAAAGTTATACTGCTTATGTCGTTTCAGCAAATGCTATACCATTTGATGGATGGTTCTAGTTCATCTTCTTCTTGTTGTGGGAAACAACTTTCTGGTGCATCACCAACAACAAAAGGGTTTGCACTGCAAAAAAATGAAATCTCAATTAGTATTTTTTCCTTAAAATCAATCAATTTTTTCTTGAATTGAGGAGAAAAGTGAGACACTTCGCCAATGGATCAAGACAATTGGCATTTAAAATAAGAGAAAGCAACTGCATCATCAGTAGTTCAAGTGCATTTTATAAAATTATCTTATTTCAAGAGTAAAAAAACTTATTGGCAAATAGTCCTATTTACCTGCTCAAATGAAGGCTAAATGCACTGAATTTAAGAATTTTTATTACCTATCATAGATTGTTTTTGAAGTGTGCAGATTTCAACTGGTAGATTGAAGATTTATACTTGCAATACTTCAAAGTTGTAACTTTGTAACTTGAAACATGGAATGTCCCATTTATTAGAGCCATAGACATGAACATTTCCGAATAAACTGTTGTACGCAGGGGGGAAATTCTGGGCCCTAGGCAAAGGCAGGCAGGGGGCCTCTGAATTGAGAAGACAACACATAAATTAGACTCATTATACAGATAGAGAAATTTAATAGAATAGACATACATGATTTGTTCTATGTTTTGTCCCTCACTAAGCCAATTCTCTGTAAGCTGATTACTCCTTCCATTGTTTCCAAAAAGGTGACAGCAAAAGTAAATGACCCAGTCCTTTATTTCACTGTAGACAAGCCATGATCTGCTTATCTGTTCTCCATTTTTCATTTGGATGAAATAATAGCTACATGAATCATGACAGCAGACAAGATAGAGGAGAGCAGGAGGCGGGGTTACCAATCTACTTGCTCTGGAGAGCAGAGTTAGCTACTTTTATATGTTGTTACCAAAGTTTCCAGTAGCAGAAAAAAATCGCTAGATCTGACACAAGGCGCTTTTTAAAGGAAAAGTACTAGAGAGGTCTGAAAAGTTGCTGAATGTAGCGACAGAAACGCTAAGTTGGCAACATTGCTCTCCGCATCGTTTGTTTTCTAATTGTTTGCTGCTGTCTGTTTGGACCTTTCTGCACATGCACAGCAAATGGACTGATCCAATGTGGTGGACACTGAAGGTGGGGGCCATTTTGATGACATTTTAATGAAAGGATTTTTATTAACAATATAACTTATGTGCACAAATAAGTAAAAGCTGCATTAACCATACATGTAAAATGAGTTTTATGGGCCCCCAGAAAAAACTTGGGACTTCCTAGTTTTGCCTGATGGTAAATCCCCCCGGTTGTGCGTATGTGTGGGTGTAGGCATCGGATGGCTGCAGTGGGGATCTGGCTCGCCTGCAGGAGAGGGAGCAGCTTCTGAAGAGACAGCTTCAGAAACAGGAGCTCCTCCTACGCAGATTACTCCTGATGAACCAACAGAATGACATCACCCGACCCAGGTCCGACCAGGTCCAGGACACCCAGTACACAGGTGCTTCTCATCCTGAGGGAAGCTTGTGAAACTCTGAATAAATATGCATTTGCTTATATGTCAAGAGAAATCCAGATGAATCTAGGCTTGTGTAACTCTGTGTATCAGACTGCTCCCAGGTCTATGGTTCTGGCTTCAAATCCAGCGCGCTGTATCGGATCAAGCCCAGTGGGAGCCCTTCAACGGTTAAAGTCTACTGTGATATGACTGATGGAGGAGGCTGGACTGTCCTGCAGAGGCGGATCAACGGCACAGAGTCGTTTAACAGGTGTGTCGGCAGCGTACTGTATGATAAGCAAAATTTCAGAAAAAAAAATCATCTATGCTAAAAAAAAAATCCCCTCATCATCAATCCATCAGGTCATGGACAGACTACAAAGATGGCTTTGGAGATTTGAATGCAGAATTTTGGCTCGGAAATGACAACCTGCATCTTCTCACAACACAAGGTCAATATGGTTTCCCCCTTTTTTTAGATAAGCCAGCAAAAACAACAAGCAAAGCAAATGTCAGGGAGGACACAAAGACTTTAAACTAAAGCATGGCAACGGTGTTCTAGGTGCACGGCTTCTGTGAAAAGTTGCATTTAGATTTTTTTTTGTTTTTGTGCTGCCAAGAAAAGAAGCATCAAGTTGTGCTTTGCAGAACATTTCAGTTGTTGGATCGTTTAATCCCTGCAGAGTTGCAGGGGCGCAAGTACACAGTAGGGGCAACCTAGAAGGGGTCATCAACTTAAAGGAAAAGTCCGATCAGCAAGAAATAATCAATGGATCATTATCTATACCTAAAACTAATGCATTTGCGGTGATTTAATGAATTTAGCGTTACAATAAAAAAAATTGCAATTCACTGAGTCCTGACATCTTCCAGCAGTGACATCACGGTGCGGTAAGCCTAGCTCCATTCTCCCCGCTTTACAAGCAAAATCAATAGGAGCTACTAG